TAGGTTTAGCGGCAATTGGTGGTCCGTTAGTTTCAATATAATGTAGTACATTGTTCTTGGTTTCGGAAATACCCATAACTGTGCGCGTGATTGTAGGGAATTCTCTGAGAAGTTGATGCCATGGGGAGTTACTCGAAATCAGTTTAATGCTGAAATCTTGACTATTGCGAATTACTCCCGGATAAGTTAAGTTGGTTGTGGAATCTATCAAACGGCGATTCTTAAGATCGACAAGCAAAGAAAATTTTTGTAAAATGTCAGCGCCAATAATAGGACAGTAGCAATAATGAATGGCTATTTGGTAGTTGCAGCGCAATCCTAAATCAACAGATATCAGGCGTTCACCAAAAGTTGGAATAGGAGTTCCATTTGCTACATAAAGTTGTAACTTGGTAAGGCGCTTTTGTTAGTGAAAATGTGGTGAAACGACAGAAACATCAGCCCCGGTGTCTAGAAGAAACCTTAAACCCGAAATTCTCTTCTATGACGAAAAGGCGTGCAAGCTTCCGGCGGCTGTCATATATGACTTCGAGCAACGGCCCTTCTCGTTTCCCTGGTCGTTATAACAACGCACGGTGGTAGGCATTTGTTTGCCTTGTTTCCAAATTTGTGGTGGTAAAAAACAAATACCCGGAGGAGGGCTTTCATAACGTTTCCTCAGTGGGTTAGGATGTGTATTTCGACTACGTGATGTGGAGCGGTTGCGCGAAAAGCTTCAGCTTGAATGGCTACTAACTGAGCAATCTGTTTGAAAAAGTCATCAATTTGAGCCTCTAACGCCACAATACCTGACCCAGGAGCCTGCACTGGATATATTTGCGCAGGAATGGCCAGCTTGTGAATTTTATCAGCGATTTCGGGAAGATTTTTAAGTGGCTCGCTACTGGCCGCTAAAATGGTTTGCATGTTAGATGGGAGTCTATTCATCCATAATGTTTTAAGAATGTTATCCGTTAGGCTACCGGCGACTAAGTCTGACATTTTAGACAGCAATTGAGAAGGCCTTATATCACCCAACTGTAAATCGTGGAACAGCTGCTTGATTTTAACTGTCTCGGATTCTTCACAAACAGAAATTAATTTTTTTAAAGATGTGTATTTGTCCGTCGTCGGTGGATTCAAAATTATTTCACGAGCTGATTGAAGTACCTCTGATACTAACGCGGCGATCGCTGAATAAAATCGAGTTTCGTTGGCAGTAATGTGACTCAATTTAAACTGCGCATCCAATTGAATGAACCATAACGATGGGTCTCGGCGACAAAAAGGTGGTGACTTAACTGTCACTCGTGCCAATTGTGAAGCAGCATCGTTGTCAACCACTTTAGATCAATCATATATGCACAGTAATAATATGTATAGAAAAATAATCAATATGTATATAGTGACACAGTTTCTTGGTACTTGAAATCAGAGAAATTGGCGGCTCAAATGCAGCAGACGATACATATATCCGCTGAAATTATGACAAAAATATGTTGACTCATTGGAATATGGCGCAACGCTTGAAATCACATGTGAAATGTCTTACTTGCATCTCATCACACTGGGTAACTTACTGCTGTTCAGAATTTTGATATATAAACTCCATATTTGTGCAACATTGAAGGTTGCTATTCGTAATAAATACGGGTCACCAATTATGGCAGTACAATTTTTTGAGACTGATCGTTAAATAATTATAACAATTGAATAGAATAAATATTATTTTGTTTTTGGTTGCTATGGGTTACCAGACTGGCAGAGTTGAGTTGTAGTAGGAAAGTTGCCACATATCTATTTATTTATCTATAATGTATATTAAACTTTTAATTGTTTAAAAACACTTATATAAATATGTAAAATAAATAACACCTTTTCAACTAATTCTAGATCATCGTATGTCTGATTTTTTCGCTGACACAGATGCATTTCCAAATTCAAGGATAATGTAGTTAGGTAGTGACTATTCTTAATATATTTTTGAGTATTTTATGGCAGATTCAGCATTTTATTATTATTTGCATTATTTTCTTATTACGAATGTATTGTATACATCATATTACTGAAAGTGTTTTTTTTTTGGGGGGGGCGCCAAAAAGGTATTTTGCCCCGGGCGCCAGTTATGCTTGCTACGCCACTGCTATAAAATTACTCGCCAAAGGAATATCGGGGTCTTTTCTTTAATGTAACGATGCAGTAAACTTCATACAAAAAGTTAGAGATCTGATTTTTGTAACTGCTATTTCTCCTGAATAATAATAAATGGATCCTGTTTTTTAAACTTATCATCTGATATTTTGAGCTTCGATTACGTCTATGATTCTTCACCAATCTACTATTTATTCCGAACAAAAGCTGGTACATCACATATATATATATATCCACTCTGTTACCCGTCTCAGTGATCTCTCAGTTTCGTTACTCTTATATGTTCGTAAATTGTGCATTTTTTTGGTTTAAAAATAATTGAATTATGTTGTTCTTATCTTCGATTAAGGTTTTTATGCCTTTCGTAACTTCTGTATAGCATACAGAAATGAGACCTTTTCTAATTAGGAAAGAAATGAAGTTTTAGCTCAGGTGCAAGGACTTCGTCACAACTTAACAGAATTTGACTTAAATGTGTATTTTATCCGTATATGAATTCCTGTTTCTTAAAGAGTTTTATTGTTTAGAGATAGAAGCTTCAGCTCTTATTTGTCCCTATCTTTTGGTTCTCTGCAGGAAGAAACTCTATTGCTTAAGATGAGTTGTAAAACCAAGAATCATTACTAATACAAAGGAACACTCAAGACTTTTCGGTATACTCTGGAGTTCTGCCTCATCATGTGGTCGTTTTACATAAGTCTCTTATTTTTATAAAGAACCCGATTGCTTATGTACAGCAGTTTTAAACAAGAGAACTATTTTAGTGCCATTATAAAGGCTCTAAATTGAGCATGATACAAAGGTATAACCATTCCACGTATCAACAAAGAATCGGGAAGAGTTATTAGGTGAAGAGATGCTTTCGCGAGAAACTTTCTAAGATCAAATATACCACAAATTTTTAGTTTTACCAGAATGTTGCTGTTTTTCCCATAGTTACGTTTTCATAGTTACCTTCAGGGTTCTTCATCCATCAATTAAATTTAAATACACCTTTCATCTACTTCGAAATATCAACATCTGTCTTAAGCACGTAGTAAATGCGCTTTTATGAACATAATATAAAATTAGGGTTTTCAAAACTTTCCAATCAAGTAAAATGTAGTTTTATTAGAGAATGACTACATAAAAATACGTGCTGACTACAAGGGAGATTTTCTAATTTCTCTGGTTGTATAGTTTTTTTTTTTTTTTTTTTTTTTTTTTTTTTGATTAATTCATTATGGCTCTTGCAAATACGATCAAACCCTCGATTAAGAGACGAATGGATTTTTCTCGTAGTGACTACTTCATCATCTCTGAATGGCACGCTTTCTGGGACTTATCTTCAGAGAATCAGCTTCTTCCATCTTCGCATCGCATGCATTTTCAGGTAGTTCAACACTTATACCTGTTCATTAAACTTCACTATCAATTTCTACAAACTTAGAAGCGGAATTTTTCACTTTTTTCTATCTCTATTTCAAGCGCTTGAGAATCTGAAGCTTTCTTCCTTCTGCTTATTTTTTTCATTTTTCTCAATTCCCTTACTCCATCGCACTTTGCAGATACAGAGTCTTGAAAATGGTGCTCTTGTTTAAGCTCATCCTCCTGCTTCTACTCTGATCCATAACACCTGTAATTTCTAAGCTTTATAAATTTTATATAATCGTATCAGTCACAAGTAATGAATTTACAGCCACATTTACATTTCTTCTGTTCTGATTCGCAGGAACGTTTACCTCTGATCTCCAGCCTCCTATAGATTTTCAACTAAACCTCTTTTAAGTACTTTTCTTTCAACTGTAAAGTGTTTCCCTGCAACATCTGATCCAATTAGTATTTCGATAGAACTTGAGTTCTCTTGCGTATCATTTATAACATTATTAGAAGTTTCAAAACTAAGAATACGTCATGTTCGTGCGCAAGGTGATATGGGTTCAGAGACGTTATGTATTTAAAAGACTTCAGCTTTAAATATGAAATTAATAATCATTTAAAGAAGAAACTGTAAAACATTCTTCATTTTGAGAGACATTAAAACAAAGCAACCAAAAGATAAAATTAATAATAAGATTTATTTAGGTATTCTTGATGGCATCCATATAATTAACTATGGACCCTGGTTTCGGAAACTTGAAACTATTGTAAGTGATATGCAAAAAAGCCAGATTCTATTGAAATTTTAATTGGATTAAATGTTGCAGAAAAACTATTTTCTGAAAGGAAATAACTTAATGCTAAATAACTTGAGTGTTTAGTCGTCGATTTTTCTTGTAAATACGATCACTCACTAAACGAATTCTACTGAATCCGTTATATGACATGTGGCAAGAAAATAAAACAGGCCTTATAAAGACATATAATTTATTTAGAAGACGGCAGGTTTGTGAAATGTTGCGGTTTCAGAAGCCGCTTATTTAAAAGATGAACACACAATGTTGCCAACCTGTCTAGGTAAATATTGGTATTGAAATAGAAATGGCTTATTAATAGCCAACATTGACAAAGCAATCAAAAATATCTATAGCAAGATTAGCATTGTATTGGCACTAATGCTGACTAATTTCTATAAGAAATTTTGCACGTCTTTTCAAATTAGAAAGTTCTTTAAGGGACTTTGTCTTAATTAATTACCTTCTAGCTACACCTGCTATTTTTAATGAGTTTCAGGGAAATTCGAAACTAATCTCTATAAATCGCACTTACTTTAAAATAAATGTCTGGTCTATTATTTTAGTTGATGGCTCAAAAGTTAATCTCGTGAGCATAATTTTAAATTATTTTGGGGAATAAAATTAATAACTTAATATAAGTTATTTATTTCAGCTACTTTTTTATTAGTTTATGTGGCAGCCCGGAATAACGTTGGTCATTTCCTTGGTAACCGTTGTTTTCTTTCAGTTTTCCAGCTAATTTTTAATTCAATTAAAATATCTATGAAAGAACACAGCACATAACTTTACTTGCGTCCCTTTCTCCTCTCTGAGAATTACCACTGGCATGACGCATAACGGTGCTAAGCTTGATAGTACTACAGATGTAAAAGATCGGCAAGACATCAGGCTTATGCAGTTAACAAATATGAAGAAAGATAAATGGTACATTTTTCCTATTTTTAAATTATTAGCATAATTTTTATTTATTTATGAACCGAGTTTTACTTGTTAGTTTTATCTGAAATTCACCTCATATTTAACTGATTAGACGATAAATTATGATAATTAAATTTTTGCCCTAATGTCAGAGGTTATGTTTTCTAATTTACAGGATTTACCTCTTTTCTTGTTCACATAACACTTTTTCCTTCAGATGAAGCAACCATTAATGATAATAAATTCAACCGTTTTATGGAGGTGATTTCAAACGAGAAAAAGGCCAAAGTTATTCAAGAAATAAATAACATGGTCTTTTTTCTTCAAGAAAAAATTTTCTGCTCCGATAGTTGATGTTTATATTGATCTCTTTCATTAAGTAAATATTAGCAAAAATTAATATACTAACGCTGATAACATTTATTATATGCAAAAAATGTAAAACAGTACATACAAATATGTAAAATTGACAGAAGTTCAAACCACGAATCCTCACTATTTATAGTTTGCTTCGACAAAAGCGCATTTAAATGTTTGATTTTTTGCTCAGAAAAGGAGCATCTTTCTCCTTAGTCATATTTGTAAACACCAAAAACAACCTAATTTAGCTGTAAACAACAAAATGTTTCAGTTCATGGTTTTAGTATGAAGTTGACAATATTATCACGAATTTTGTACAAATATAAATAGTTTTATCGAAATTATATGTGAAAAAAATTTTTGGAGCTATAATGCAATATGAAAATATAAAAAGTGGTGCTTGGCCGGAAAAGTAAGAATACAGGGGGAAACTCTATTTAACTTTGAGTAAATAGCTATGTCATTAAATTAGCGAGATGTCGCCAAGCTAGTGATGGCTTTGGCAACCAATTTTTATCACCAAATTTAGAGAGAAAACGCCAAGATTCGCCCAACTTGACCACATTTTGTACCAGCCCCTGTATAGCTGTGATGGATATTGTAATTGAATAAATGCAGTTAATGATATAAGTAGCTGTAACCGTATCCCTCCCTCACTTCTAGTAATTTCGAAAAGTGCGTGAGATTTCTATGCGGCGGGGAAAAACCTATATAAGATCGGAGGGAGCATCAATTTGATTGAAGCACTTATTAGTTCAAAGCGACATAGGAGTAGTAAGATAACCGTGAGAGCTTCGCGTTTAAATGCGCTTTGCACTGCGTTGTGTTTAAAGTGCTTAGTAATTTGAAGTGTTACTACTGAATATACTCTGTAATACCGTGAAGAGCTGTAGAGTATTTATGTCGAAAGTTCCAGAACTCTGAAGTGCTCCTTTTGATAAAATTGATTTTACCAAGCTATCATCGGTCCTGTGTGCAATTCAATCTATTGCGAACCCGTGCGTATGCAACAATATATATATTTATGAATACAAACATTGAGCTCTGACAGTGAATTTTAACAAAGTTAAACCCATTATATCTGAGAGGCAAAAATTCTGGATTCTGGAGATCTCATCCTGAGTTTGATTCTCAGCATGTAATGATTTGTGGTTGTGTATAAGTGTTTTCAAGTTTTAAGCCCTTGAAAATCTAACGTAATTACTATACGTATTCATAGTTTGTAAAAGTTTTGGATACAAAGAATGTTTCTTTGAAATTTTTCTATACTTCTTCCTCACCTTTTTGTATCTATCATTAACTATCGAGTGAGTAACATTAAAATCCATGCAAATTTTGTTTGAAAGAACTTGGGGCATCATTTTTACGTTTCTAAATTTTAGTCTAGGTTTATTTCATACATTATACCTGTTTTCGTAAAGACGAATTATGATTTTACTCAGAAAAATTTACCTTAGTTATGTATTCTCAATCATTGCTTTAAAAATAATAGATTTTACTATTTTTGAAAAAAAAAACAAAAGAAGTTAAATTGTTTGCAAAATGCTGCATTATAAAAAAAAATATTGACTATACTCTATTCGCTACAAGTAAAGCACTTGGAAATTAAAACTTCCTACAGTACAGATAAAAGCACTCCTTGGTAAAGTAATTTGTTTAAAAGCGGAAGCTAGAAGCTTAAAGTCATTAGCTTTCTCCATTTAAACATTATGGATTTGACTAAACGAGTTCAGGCCTCTTTTTTACCGGTGTCGTTGATGCTCACACCTCCAAAAGATATTTTAATAAGTAATGTGGATATTAAAATTTAGATACTACCGCATTTGTAAGATTACATCTCGTTGATAAGTAAAATGGCGAGAAGCGAATAAAATATACATGGCGTTACATTTCTAGTAAAACTGCTCAGGCTCTTCAAGATAAATAATTTAAATATGAATTATGCTTAACAAAAATCGTATGGTAAACAGTGATGATTTCAAAATGTTCTTTCTATAATCGAATGTTTTCTTGAATTTTAATTGTTTCTGCTCCAAAATTTGTACAATGTTTATGTAAGAAAACAAATTTTTGCTCTTTAATATAATCACTAGCTTGATTTACCTGAAAACATATTTGTATAGAGAAGTAACTGCATGACAGAAATGTAGGTGCAATCACAGCGGCTGGTTCTCGGTTATAGCGGCATTAGCGAGAAATGGAAATTGTTGAGACGATTTTCGATGCAAAGTAATAATTTATTTTCACGTGCCCTATTGTGTCACACAAATTCCAGTGCTGTAGAATAATAATTCTCTGAACTCCAGGGGTGCAACAAAGGCTGACAGGAGGTAGTCGAACAGTTTTCAAAAGAAAATAATAAGAAAAATGTTTTTCTTTTTAGTTACCCAACAAGTTTGTTAAGCATTATGGCAAACATTTATTTCATTTACGAAAAATACATATTGTTAGCGATAAGTATTTTTACTAACATATACTTAGTATACGACATCGGATACAAGTGTTATAATTTATTTTCCTCTAAAACAAAGCGAAATTATATCACTGTTATCAGTTGCGGCGCATAGTGAAAAAAAAAATGGGAGCTTTTATAAATTTTTTTAGCGTATTCATTTTCTGCTGTTATTATAAGGAATTAAAGGTATTTGTTCTTTTCCTTGTGTAATTGACTGCACTTTAGTTTCCCCTTCCCTTCTGTAAGTTCAGATTTTTATGCTAGCTAGATATGCTAACCATCTGTGATTCCTTCAGACTGCACATATATTTTTCAAGATTTCCAATTCCAAAGAGACATAATAATTCTACACAGTTTTGCGTCTTTTTTATAGCCATGCTTTTAAATTGTAGAGATAAAAATGTATCTAAAATGTAAAACGAGTAGTAGAACTAACACAACATTGAAATTAATAGTAATGTTACTAACCCAGCTGTTATACTTTTACTTTTTGTACACGCAAATGTGCCATTTCTAATTTTTAAACTGATCCTTGCGATGATTGATTCTGTTTTGTTTTCAGGTACATATATATATTACCAGTAAAAAAAATGGGTACTATTCTGTTATCGGTACCAGATTCAGATATCTGTAAAAGCTGACGAACTTGCGAAAAATTCGAAGCATAAAAATAATCGCCAAAATATTTACGATATGGTAAAATAAAAGAAAAATATAAAAGAAAAAGTAACAAAAAAAATCTGAAATGTTTCAGATTTTAAATTACGTCCAAAGGGGCGTTTTTTAACATTTTGTGTGTTACCTTTCTTTATTAAATATCATGTTCCTCGCACTTAAACCATAAGATCCAGTGCAACAGCAATATCGCAAAATAGTTTTAAAACAAGCATATCTTTAGAATTTCCGATACAGAGACTCACGCGCTGGAGATAAAAATGTTTTTTCTGCACAACGTTGCCATTGCTCGCTTTGAAATCCTTGAGTTTGTTAATCAAAATTCGTCAAAGTTTTAAAAAATAGGAAATCGATCATAAAACAAATTTCAAATTTCAAATTTGGTCTTCCACATGCTCATATTCGTTGGAGGATTACGTTATTCAAAATTCGATGACTCTATGTACCGTTATTTTATGACAATGTGAGAAATATACATACATTTACGCAGATTTTCATTATTTAATTTCTTCAAATATAATTCAGGACTCTTAACATTTTTCAGGTCATTTAAAACTTGTGAAAACGCTTGCACTTTAGGACGCTTTTGCCGCCACATAAGCTCGATTAAATAAGAATGAAGTTGGTTACAGTCAATGCCGCGTTGAGGTTTATTTCCGCATTTTGCACTGCCCCATAACTTTTCAATAATTTGCGTATAACAACCAGCATCGAGATCTATAAAATTCTATTTATGGTTAAGACAGATATGTTAAAATCCGGCCTCCCTGAATTCTTCAGTGTCATATCCTTTCCAACAGTGTGAGTGTGTATAGTGTCATCAATTACATTTTCTTCAATAGCTGGTTCCGGCAAAGTTCCTAACAGACTAGCTTGGCACAGCGACTAAAAGATATTCTTTTGTTTGTTGGCAGAGCTCGCCGTACACCATCTGGGCCAGAAGGATATGACCGACGTTGTTTTCTCAACGCGAAAACCGATTCTTGTCAACTTCGACAGTATACCAGTGCCGCCTATTTTAACTGACGGTCTAGATATTGATCCACGGCCATACACTTCCTTCATATAACTGTTCTAATAAATAATAGTGCAATGATTCATATGAAGTTGATACCGGCCAAATTCAAGAGAAGTTAATACTAAACACTATATATAAATTCCATTAAAGAAATCGATTTCCATTAAAGAAATTGATTCTCGACCCTTCAAACCCATTTTGAAAACGTAATACTACATTTTTTTCTCGTCACGTCATAGCTTCACATCTCCACTTGGGTGCTTCCTTCGAACTGAAGGAGAACCCCATTTCATGATTTTCGTGCTGTTTATTTCAGAGTAAATAATTCATGAGGAATTATTTACTCTGAAATAAACAGAATCCTGAATCTGAAAAATCCTAAAGAAATTGTAGGGAAGATGTTTCCTCCTCATTAGCAAAATCCCAAATTTTCATATCCATGGTACATGCAATGGTAATAAAAACACAAGTTAACGTTATATCTTTATAATTTGTATT